TTCATTCCATCAAGCTACACTCTGAGAAAGCTCCCATTGCATGTAACAGAGAATTTACCTTACTTGGGCTGAGAATTGCAGCAGACACATGGTTCAAGCGTAGGTCTAGATGGTGTTATATATGCTGAACCATCTGTCCTGAGAGTCGTTGGTTACCCTTCTCACCCGTTTCAACTGAGTGTGAAAGGAGCATTCCTTTCCCAGTGCACGTAAGAAACCATTTACTATCACCATAGCTAAACCAGGGAAAGACCCAGAGTTCCTCCAACTACCAACCAGTCGCTCTGTCATGTTGCATTTGCAGATTATTTGAAAAGATGCTAAATTGCCATCTAGTCTATCATTTAGAAATATACAAAGTAATCTCACCATGTTAGAGTGGTTTCTGCAAAGGTAGAACAACTATAATATTTTTTTTGGAAACCTCCATCTTTAAAGCCTCTGTCAAAAGGAAGCATTTAGTTTCATTACTTTTTTATGTTCAAAAGGCTTATGACAAAGCATGAGGATACAGTATATTATGTGATCTTTACACATTGGCTTTTGCAGCAACAGGCCAACTTTCGTACAGAATTCTTTTAAGGCTCGTTTATTTCAAAAAAGTAAGGAGTGGTTCAGTATTGTTACGGATTTTGCATTTAGTTAGCTATTTTTGGTAGAATTGTAATTAAAATTGTTTTATTTCCCTGTGCAATGCAGCGCATGATGAATTTTAAGAGAAAGTTATGCCAAAAAAGTAAAAATACAGGAGCACGCACATTTAATAAATAGATATCTCATAATTTATATTTCAACTGAATAAATGTAATTGATTATGGTGTTAGCTGCGACTGTAATTCTACTCTTTTGCTTTCCAGAAATGTCGAGAAAATGGAAATTATGCAAATATTTTCGTGCTGGATCAAAAAACGGAGAGAAACATTACAGTTCTTTTGTAGACTTGTGAGCTGTTGTTGTTTATCTTGATCAGATTAGCTTTCTCTGCACTTTGGATTGCGTTCTATTTAACATTTTAGTAGTTTAAAATATGACTACTGTGTGATATTGTGATATTGAACGAATATCTTCGAGGAAAAATTCCAGCATTTTGTTTTATTTCTTGTGATAAAAATAAATTTTATTAACTTTTTATCAGACTTGGGCATTCAATCTTATTACAAACCTGTACACACGCAACACTTTTTGGTGTCAGAAGTGGGATTGAAGCAGGTCAAGAGGAAATAAAAAAATGAAATTACCTACATAATAGAACACAAATTTGAGGCTCTGGAAGGCAGAATAGATGCTGTTGAAAACAGTTGGACACATTGAAGAAAGAGTTTCTTCTGTGAAAGAACAGGTAGAAGAAAGAGTTTCTGCCGTGCAACAACAAGTCGAACAACAAATTGATGACATGGTTTCTGCAGTTGCTAAAGAAGTTGACACCTTAAAGAAGCGCATAGCGACAGCAGGAAACAATTCTGAAGGTTCAAAATTTCTACTTATGTCTGCTCACCCCTCTCTGAAGCTATCCACATATGATAGGAAGACCTTCTGTCGAGTGTATAAGACACAATTTTTGTCTATTGGTGGAAGCGAATGGGTGGGATTCCCAAGCTAAGGTCTGTTATCTCGTCACTTCTCTGGAGGATGCCTTTGTGGAGGACTTTCTAAGGGAAACTGGCTCGTATACACGTTACACATGGGGAAAACGATGAAAACGCCCAAGCAGCCAGCCTGTTTGCGGGATTCGAACCTCGGACCGAACTACCAGTGTTCAGCGTCTTTATTGCTCGGCCACTTCCAGATTTCAGGTTGTTGCCACTTAGCATTCTCTAAATCAATGCACTTCTATTGATTTTCGTGTTGTCATTCAGATGCAGAGAAAAGTATCTGTTCAAACTGGAACAAAGAGGCTGCATTCTTTGTGTTACTCTTTTTAGCTAAAGAATAAACTGTTCTGAAAGAACTTCCTCCTTCCATTTCTGGATCACTATATATTGCTGACATGCAGGTAAGTTGTCAAGGTGCAGACGTGAGATGCATCTAGAGGCAATTGCAGATGGCTGCAGAAGTGGTCAGATAGTGAGGGCTTTATGTTTGGATAAGAGAAAAAACCATTTGCATGTACTTTTATAAAAAGCAGAATCATCATCCTGAGCTCAAGCTTCACTTTAAGGCTTATTAATTCCAGTTGTCCCTGAAGTTCAGTTTTTAGGAGTTGTGTTTTATTGTAAGCTTACTTTTTTCTTCCGCATATCTTGTGTTTAAGGAAGAAGTGCTTCAAAATTATAAACTTGCTAAAAGTGTTAGCAAACACCTTCTGGGGAGTGGGACGTTGCTCTTTACTTCGCATTTACAAATTGCTGATACTATAGTTCAACTGTGTATTGATGTGCACAGCTTTCTGTTTTACTGAAACTTGATCCTGACCGTCATCAGGCTCTGAGAATTGGTTCTGGAGATTTCTGGACCTCTTCTATCCACAGCCTATATGTTGATTGTTAAGAACCCTTGCTTCAGTTATGGCTTGAGCAGTTGACTCTTTATCGGTATTTCAGTAATATGTCACAATCTGAGTATCCTCTCATATCTGTATTCTTGACGACTGTTATAATCTTTTATTTTCTGCACAATCCAACCACTTGACATACTTCCTTTCTTGGAAAGGACTGAAACATTGATAGAAAAATATTACTTGTCTGATGTAAAGGATCTGGATATCCTACCTTGGGATAATCCAAAAATTGAGCTTCTGGATGCGTTTCAGCATCTTGATAAGGGAAACACTAATGTTATAATATAGAGGCAAGTTTTCTTGAGCACAGGGATGAATACAATTATTTTATTCCCATATGTACAGATGATTCAAAATCAGCTGGTCATTTGAAAGCACCATTCGTGACTGGAAACTATACTGAAAGCAAATGACAGTGCAACACCTGCTCTGTATTTAGTGTTGAATTGACTGCTCTGTATACTTCTCTTACATTTATCTCAAGCAATTCCAGGAAAAGTTTATAATTTACACCAACTCATTAAGTGCTGTAAAGGCTTTAGATAGTTTTTTGGCACTTGAAATTCTCTTACTAGTTGACTTCTAAGAATTCATAAAAAATTAAAGTCCCCCCTCCCACGGGTACGAGATTCTTTTTTGTTGGGCCCAGGGCACATAAGCATAAAAGGTAATTAGCTGGCAGACACAGTTAGCAAAGTTTGCAATTGCTTTGTTTAATTAAAATGGTCATCAAACAGAGAACCTCATTTAAAGGCAGTTATTCTGGAATAATCAATTTCTGAATAAATTAAAAGGTGTCAAATCTAAATTAGACTACTGGGAGACCATTAGAAAATGAATTGAGGAAGTTTTGCTAGCATGTCTAATAAGTCGCACGCAGTTACCCTTTGAAGGCAGATGGTGAACTTGTGTATTCAAATTGCAGTAGTGTTGTATTCATGCATTCACTTTTTAATTAAATGTGTCCATTTTAACAGACTTTGACTGATGTATTTTAATGACTGTGATTTGCCTCTTGATTGTATAATCAGGAAAGACGCCAATACCAATTTATTTTGCTATCTTAAAGAAACAGATCTTTATCATTAAATTTGATTTTATCTTGATGTTGCATCTTGGTAATTGAATTTTTCTCACATTTTATGATATTACTCTTATTTTATAGTCGGTATCATTATCTGAATCTTATTCTTCATCTCGGGTTTCACCATTTTATTATATGTGTTGATTTTATAAGTGTGTTGGTGTTTTAAACTTGTCTTTATGTAATTTGTGTGTGGAAGCGTGAAATTTATATTCAGCGCATATAAACTTTAAGGTTTTGCACTGGAAATACAATACCATACCATGTATTTCGGGGTTCACTATAAAAAATTATTATTTTTTCAAATTGGAAAGAAATGCTTGTTGAGCATAATCTCTTAAGCATGCTTGAAGAATGTATTATTGACTCTGAAAACTAAGAAGTGTACTTTTAGTTTTATTCTGACATTGATTTAATACTGCAACAGTAACAATGAATTAGCTTGTGAATTAATTCTAGTGTTGTGTTTATTTTTTATTCTGTTTTAACACAAATTTTTTCTCAAGGAATCAACTTGCTGTGTAGAATAATATCAGAGTTTATGTAATAGCAGATGTATTAAATTTACTATTCGTAGTTCTATGTATATACAGATATCTCATTTACACTAGGTGAAAAGCCCTTCAGGTGTCCTGAACCTCATTGTCAGAAATCTTTTGTAACTTTGTATAATATGAAAGCTCACATGTCAAGGCATGCAAAAGAATCAGTAGAGGTCAGTATGATAATTAAGTATTTTTTTAATTAAAAATCAAAAAAATAAAAACATATTAGTATATGTATTAATTACATAAAGTAATTAATATCTTATATGTACCATATTAGGGTAAATGAGTATTAAATTTTGTTATGCAGAATATTTTTTTAAATCTTTTGCCATATGAATTGTATATATCAAGGCTTTTTCACTTTTGCAGCTTTTAAAGATAACACTGAGAAAGTATTTCAGTTATAACTGTTTGATATTCTAAGCACATATGGCCTCAATTGTAATAAAACTACAATATTAAAGGGTTAAATTATAATTTAACCCATTATTTAGACAATTAAGAGTATCTTGAATGAAAGTACATTACAATAAAAATTAAATTTCATGGATCACAGATTAAGAATTGCATGTAAACTGGCAATGAACAGTCATATCTAAACAAGTTCATGTTGAAAAGTTAAATGTGATCGATTCTGTTCTTGTTTTATGATATCCTCTTCCAAGTAACCTTCAGCAGATGCTTTCTTTTGACATGATAAGATGTTTCATTTCTTTTTTAGCCATGTGTTCATAGTTCATGCAAAATGACTGCATTCTACATTTGGATAAGAACATTGTTTTTGTTGATTAAAGAAAATGAGGGCAAATCATGCAGACTTTAGCGACATAAATGATCTTGACATGCAGGATAATGAACTTTCAATGAAAGATTTGCTTATCTTCTATGAAATCATTTTATTTTTTTAATGTCTATATGTGGGGATAGGTAAAGTTACTGTATTGTGTGACTGTCTTTTCGATAAAATGTAATTCTTTAGAACAGGGATTCCCAGCAGGATTTTTTCATTCATAGACTCCTTTTTTAATGAATGGTTTTCTTCATTGACTCCTTATATGCACATCAGTTACTTTTTAATGTAATAGTTAGATAAGGATAGGAACAAAATTTTTAGAAAACTCTTTTATTCGATTTATGTTTTATTATTTTTTGTGCTATTATTATTATTAATTTTACAAATGTAAGCAAGTTTTCAGGGACAAAATTCGCAAAGTGTAATTGCTAATAATTCTAAAAACCAATTTTAATTCATGTGTTGTCTACACTTGGTCTGGTAATGAAGTTTTTTTTTTGGGGGGGGGGTTAATATTTGGCTGAAAATTGCTTAATTCTCAAGTAGCTTCATTCAAAAACATTCAGCTTGTTTCATATTTTCTGTTGTAAATTATTGAATTGATTAAAGCCTGTTTCTAATAGCTAAGAAGAGAGAAAAAACAATAATGTTCAGTAAAAACTTTTATTTGGGGATTTTTTTCCTTACCTTTAAATTCCTCAATATAGTATGCCCTTGTGTTTTACATTTCCTGTGTTTTATTTTTTTTTTTATATTGCACTGTTTGCATTAAAAAATAATATATTAAAAAAAGTGTGTTGATCTTTGAAATATTAAATAGTTAAGTGTATTTTTTCTTTATTTTCATTTTATGTGATTTCTTCCTTAGCATGGTACAGCTTTATAACAATAAACAATTAATTGTGAATTTTATTATAGCCAAAGGCCTGTTTTTGGTTTAAGTCTTAGGTGCCTTATTGCTGACAGTACTGGTTTGCCCAGCTTTATCCCAGTTTTGAAAAAAATTTCCCACCTGGGGAAGGCCCAAAGATTTTATATCCCATTTTCCCTTCCACCAGTCTCATGGGACCTGTTCCGCCATTCCTTTCCCACAGCTTCAGATAGTCCGTGCAGTTTGTATCGTATGGATACGGTAGAAGTTCTTTTTCAGTCTGAAAGACATAAAAGCACAGTAAAATAGTTAAATAACAAAGCTGAAAAATTATTTACTTTTTATGTACTTGCAACAGCACTTTTAGGACAGAGACTATGGATTTCATTCCTGTGATAAGAAGAGTTAGATTTTATTCTTGCTGGGAAATCGTTCCCATGTCTTTCCTGGGATTTGAACCTAGCCACAAAACTATGGAAACTGGTTCTCTACCATCATGGCAATAGGGCAACTTAATTTGACGTATTACATTCAAATACGCTGAAGTGACAAAAGTCATGGGATAGCAATATGCAAATATACAGATGGCAGTAGTATCGCATAGAAAATGTATAAATGCGAAGTCCTTTGGCAGGGCTTTCATTTGTGTTCAAGTTATTCATGTGAAGAGGTTTTGACGTGATTATGGCCGCACGATGAGAATTAACAGACTTTGAACGTGGAATGGTAGTTGAAGCTAGACGCATGGGTCATTCCATTTTGGATATCGTTAGGGAATTCAACATTCCGAGATCCACAGTGTCAAGAGTGTGCTGAGAGTATCTAATTTCAGGCATAACATCCCACCATGGACAGCGCAGTGGCCGACCACCTGCACTTAACGACCAAGGACCAGCGACGTCTGCGTAGAGTTGTCAATGTTCACAGACAAGCAACACTGCGTCAAATAACCGCAGAAATCAATGAGGGACGTGTCCGATAGGACAGTGCGGTGAAATTTGTCTTCCTTGGGCTATGCCAGCAGAAGACCGACTTGAGTGCCTTTACTGACAGCACGATATCGCCTGCAGCGACTCTCGTGGGCTCGTGAGCATGTCAGTTGGTCCCTAAATGAATGGAAAACCGTGGCTTGGTCAGATGAGTCACGATTTCAGTTGGTAAGAGCTGATGGTAGGGTTTGAGTGTGGTGCAGACCCCACGAAGCCATGGACCCAAGTTGTCAACAAGGCACTGTTCAAGCTGGTGGTGGTTCCATAATGGTCTGGGCTGTTTTTACATGGCTTGGACTCGGTCCTCTGGTGCAACTGAACCGATCATTGACTGGAAATGGATACCTTCAGCTACTTGGAGATCACTTACAGCCATTCGTGGACTTCACATACTCAAACAACGATGGGATTTTTATTGATGACAATGCGCCATGTCACCGGGCCACAATTGTTCGCGATTGGTTAGAAGAACATTCTGGACAATTCCAGCGAATGATCTGGCCACCTAGATCGCCCAACATGAATCCCATCGAACATATATGGGACATCATCTAGAGGTTAGTTCGTGCCCAAAACCCTGCACCGTCAACACTTTCACAATTATGGATGTCTATAGAGGCAGCATGGCTCAATATTCCTGCAGGGGACTTCCAACGACTTGTTGAGTCCATGCCACGTCGAGTTGCTGCACTTCGCCGGGCAAAAGGAGGACCGACAAAATATTAGGAGGTATCCCATGACTTTTGTCACTTCAGAGTATGTGTCTGTTGTATAGTTTGCTATAATCATTTGAGTATAACTGGTTTCTCTTCGTACCCTTTGCATCTATTAGATCAGTATACAGCAGAGATAGACAGTTGTTTTGGCTTTGGAGTCACTTTGTAGAAGCAGGAATTAGTGGAGGGCAGGGAGAATTAAAATGATTGCATTCATTAGTTAACTTTGCATTTTAGAAAAATAGTAAACTGTACCATAAAAATCAGTAAATATAAATTAAATAAAATAGTGGCAGTTTTATTCAATTTATTTGTTATGCTAACTTCATATCATCTATAGCTGCAGCCACATATAATTTCAGAATCATTTTTAATGAGACAAATGTATTCTATAATTTTCCCCCTACCTTTAACAAAACAAAACAAAAATTCTGGAGTGAGATTACTTGTTGAAATTCTCATCACAGCCTGCAAGTTACTGTCTGTTAAAGATCATCTGTATTTACTCTTGTTGATCTTCAAGCAAGAAAAACTGTACTAAAAAATATGTAGACCCAATGTAGAGAACATTTTCCAAACAAATGTTTTCATACATAGAAATCTTTCAGCAGCCAAAGATTTGTACAAGTCAACTAATGTCTCAGCATTAAGCATTTCTTTCACAGTGGGATCTGACTGCATGTCAGTATGTTCAAGCTGCATTTCCTCAGTCACTGTGTCAGTATCAGCAGTGGTGGGATAACAAAGCAAATTGAATTTAGGCTAAACTTTCTTAAAGCCGTGAAATCATCTTGTGACTTCGTCCTCCAAACTCTGCAGATGATCCCTAATCTTAGCAGAAATACTTTCAGGCACTTTTTGTCTTCCTAATAAAGGGAAATGACAAAAATTGTCTTCATCCGTTTGCTTTGCAAATAAACCTAGTTTTGCTTTGAATTATTTTATGTGCTTCCACATTTCATGGGTAAATAACCCCTTTCCCTGCAATGTCACATTCAGTTCATTCAATTTCTCAAATACACCAGCTACGGACATCTTTTCATATCTGTTTATCACTCAGACTCAACCAACTCACACTGTTTGTGGTAAATTACTTAACATCTTCATATTCTGCCTCCACAGCCTCAGGAAAAATTTGAACTGTCAATGGTGTAATGCTGTTGGTCTGATTGTGTTCACTATATTGACAATGGTACCTAAACATGTTTTAAATAAAGTGCAGTCCTGATGCAAAATGCAATGAAAAGATAAGATACTGCTATCTGTGTCTTCTGCTTGTAAATTTTCTTAAAAATAACTTAACCATATAGACATTTTTCCAGAAGTGTTTGTGCTCCGGGGAAACCCCGGAATTCCGGGGATTTTGGGGAAATTCCGGGGATCATCGTTCAAAAGGAAGTAGGAATAATAATGAATTATTTATTTTGATCTGAATTTTGTTTGCTTTGAAAGCAGAAAACGCAAGGTCAGTGTGTGTGGTGAAAACTTTTCCTTTCTTTGTCCAAAGGCAGTGATAATGCGTGAAAATGGGGAAAAAACTTCTTTTTTGTTCTTTCCTTATTGCGAGTTATGACTCATTCCCCCGGTTCTCGGACATTCTCTTCTGGATTCTTTTCGGCAAGTAGGCGCAGCAGAAAAAAAAGGGAGAGACTTCGTTCGACCAGATGTGCGATCACATGACTCTGGGTTCAAAGGTCTTATCTCTCCTGGCGTGGCGCCAATAAGTAGAGAAGGGCGATTTTTCGCTGTATTAGCTATTTGTCATTGATCGCTTCTCAACTTTTTTTTCTCTGCTGTG